TTTATTCTATTGCTTTTCTTCCCACAAAACTTTCATCTCCCTGGTAGAAAGAATGCTTTCCAGGAGTCACAGGAAAATCTTATTGCTTCAAAGTCAATATGCAGAGGAACAGGAAAGCTGAACATGTCCAGACATTATTTTTCAACAATATGTGGTGTTGCATCATGGTCTAGCTAGTCATTCTTACGTGAGTCTGATCAGATAGAGAAACTCTTGAATCAGTACAGGGCAAGATGAGATCATCCTTGTAAATTTACTTTGGAAAAAAAAACTAAATATGAAATATTATCAACTTTTCATAAAATATATGTATTTAATTTTTACTAACTTGAGTAGGGTATGTGGAAAAAAAAATCCATACATTCGTATCTGAAGATCAATTTACTACAATTTTAGAAAACAGAATACACAACCAATATAAAACAGAATCCACTAACTCACTGCGAATTTGTCCCTGGCTTCTATCTCAATCAAGTTAATTCATCTTTGCTGAAGTTGGACTAGATGACTTTCCACCTGGTCATTCATCCGGGTTTGATTCTCAGCCAATGAATCTCATGTGCAGCCATCACCTGTCTGTTAGTGGTAGTTTGCATGTTCCTATGATGCTGAACAGGTTTCAGTGGAATGCCCAGACTAAAACAGACAGGGAGAAAGTCCTGGTGATCTACTTCAAAAACTGAGCTAATGAAAACCCTATTATCACAACAGTCTGATCTGCAACCGATTATGGGAAGCGTGCAGGACTGGGCAGTGTTTCCTCTGTTGTGCATGGAGTCACTGTGAGTCTGGCCCAACTTCACAGTAACTAACAACAACATTCATCCTTTCAGCACTATTTATTATTATCTACTGAGCTACTTGGTGCCCTGGTGGCATAGTGGTTAAGAGCTCGTCTGTTATCCAAAAGGTTGGCAGTTCAAATCCACCAGCTGCTCCTTGGAAACCCTAGGGGGCAGTTCTACTCTGTCCTGTAGGGTCACTGTGAGTTGTAATCGACTTGATGGCAACGGTACTGAGCTACTCGGCATTCTTCTACTCATCTCTCTTCTGTTCTCTTTTTTTATCTGCGTAATGGTTCTTAAAAGCTCTTTTGCATCTTCTCAAGCTGCCCCCACATCCCTCCCCCTTTAGTCGTTGATGTCTATACTGTCTCCTTGAATCAAAAAGCAGAGTTCACTAGCCATGAATTCCCTAAACGTTGTACCCCTCTATCTACAAATTTATAATTCTTTTGGGTCCTTTTGCTGTTGTTGTTGTTCTGTAAGAATACATTACTGGTCTCTAATACTTTCGCAAGGATAGTCCCTTAACTTAAGTTCATGGTTTTATTTTTGTAAACAATTACATCGCCATCTTTAATCTTTTTTTCTTGAATTTTTAGTTTCTTCCTTTCTTCTGGCGCCTTCCTTCAGCTCAAGTTTCCTGAATTAAAAACTTTCCTTTGAACCTGAAGCTTCCACAAGCAACTTTAGTCCTCTTTCTTATCAACTTTCTACCCTTTCTGCAGCCTATACTCGCTGATATCTCTACTTCAATTCATTCCTTAACCCTTTCGTGACCCAATTATTTTTTCCTTTTAGTTAATTATTTATTTATTTTGGATACTATGTGTTTTTAGTAACGGAGGGCATGCTGAATCATTGAATCTGTCTGCATTTTTGGTAGGGAATACAGTTCTTGTTTTATGCCTCATTCCACAAATTGTACTCATGGCGTCCTGAAGTACATATGTATACCCCTTGTGAACAGCAATTCTACCCCCGGAGTCCAGAGGTACATATGTGTAGCAAATAAAAATTTTCAAAATTGATGTTTTTCCTACTAAAAATTCAATGATTCACTACCACCTCATACAATACGCTGTAAAAACAAGTCTTTTTTTTTCCATTTCAAACTGTTATACAGGCTCCTGCCTCCTGGCAGCATGTACTATGAGTGGGACAGCAGCTTCCCAATGAAACCTAGAGATATAAAAAGTAAGTGGAAGCTATATATACCACCGGTACGAAAAGGTTTGACCTCTGGAATTCTAATCCTGTTATTTCGCTAACACTCTTCACTCAGTTATCACCCAAAACAAACAAACAAAAAAAAACCAAACCCACTGCCATCAAGTCAATTCTGATTCATAGCGACCCTAGGTCTCACCACCTAATAATTACAGAAAGTAATTGGCTCTTCAATTTTTCCTGGTACTCTGTGTTGTTATTTCTGCTCTCTGTCCTTGTCCCTTAATTGTTATTTTGTTTTCCTAGAGTTCTATATTCCTTGTGTGAAAGCCAAATTCATTACCTATTATCTGCCATTATGCTGTTCATTTCCCATCCTGTGTTCCACATGTCAACATCACAATTCGTTCACTTCTTTAGGGTCAAAATTTCAGCATTCTCCTGGATTCTCCTTCTGCACTGGCTATCTCCACCCCACCCCCCTACCCCCCAACCAACAAACACAAAACATTTGGTAAGCCTCTTGCATTGGAACCAATCTCATCACCCCAACATCATTCCCTTGGTCCTGGCCTTCATCAAATTTAGCCTGTTTTGTTTCTATGAACTTATATGATCCATCTTCCTCTAATCACTCCACTATGCAAGTATTCAACAATAAAGTCATCAAAAAGTCATTAAACTCAAGAATATGATCATAACACACTCTGGCTAAAAACCTCTGTGGCTGTCAGGTGTCATAGACTATATTTGAATCTTCTTTCTCTGCTGCCACATATCCTTATTCACACCAAGCAGACTGCCATTCTTTAATTGTGCCAGGATTTTCCATGCCTCACATTTTGCAAATGTTGCTCCATTAGCCTGGCATTTCCCACAGCCTTCCGCTGGCTGACAAATTTGCATTCTCCTCTTTATGTTTCTGTAGTGCTTTGTAAATACCTCAAGGATGGTGTTCACCATATTTTATCATAATAATCTAAAATGCCAGACATCCCCAAGCTCCCAGATTGGGAGCTTTAAATACATTTAATAAGTGTTTTCATTATGAGTAAATGAATAAATAAATGTCTCCAATTTTCCAATCTGAGAAAGTGGGATAAAAAATAAAATAAAAATAGGAACACTGGGCAAAGAAAGTTGTTTTGGGTTAAGAAGAGTTACCATTAATGTATTAATATATTAATACAATGTATTAATGATAACCAACATATTAATTAATGAGCATGAGATGGCCGTTGACCAAGAAAGTGCAAATTTCCAGAAGGCAATTAAAGACTACACATATGGAGCTCAACTGAGGTTGCAGGGCCAGAGATACTGACCCATAAGTCATCTGATAAAAGCTGACAGCTGAACTCACAACACAAAAGAGTTCTTCAAAGCAGACAGTGCAGAGATTTGGGGGCTATGCTTTGGGGAAATGTGTTAAGGGATGATAAGAGGAGCTGGTGAACAAGTGGTTGGTGAGGAGGGCAGAGAGCACAATAATGATGAAGACTTGAAGAATAGTTGCACCTTGCGTTTCCTCTAATAACTGAGAACATGCCTTCCAAGTAATACAAATATTACTTGAATTAAATGGCTTTTCAGAGGTTAATGTGAGTGGAAGTTAGATTTTAGGATATGAAGGCAATATATCGTGGTAAAGAAACAGATCACATGTCAACAATTAAAAACTTATTGAAAAAGTTTCACAGCTAGAAAAGCAGGAAGAACAAAAGCTAGATTTAATATTATTTGAAAGATGATGTAGACTTGTGAATAATTAAAGATAGACAGTGAGATGTTTTCACCTGTAGTTCTACATGACACAATTTTGTGTTTAAATGTCAGCTTTTCTACTAATTAATTGATATAAGACCTTTCACTCTATAAGATTATTGGGTATGTGAGATCAAGAATCCCATCTAATATTTCTCTTATATCTCCTGCTGCACTTCAAAGAGGGACAACTACACAATAGGACTTTAATAATTCAGTTTTTGAATCAAAATGATTGCAACTTAGTCACCCATTCCTAGGGAAAATGCAGCATAAGTAGTATTGTCATTTTACAACTCTTAAGATGGCAGCCAAGAAGCACATGTTGTAAAAATGAGTAAAGAAAAAATTCATTTCTAGAGCCTGTTTAGACCTCTTGATGATTGATTAGGATACCAAGAATAACACTAGACCCTAGGTGGTCCCATATAACATAATTCTTATAAGATGAATTGCCATCTTTTTATGAATTTTTGAGATGGTATCATATGAAGATGGTGCTAGTTATTGGACAATTGTCTAGATACAGAGGAAGAAAGTAGGTGACTAACTTTATACAATGGCAGAGTTACTGTAAATGACAGTGCAGTATTAGGTGACATTGAGCTATTATTTAGAAGCTTCCTTAACATAGGAAGTTATGAATGCTATAAAAAACACCAGAATGGAATGTGTTGGGTGAATGATCTTGTAATTCTGGGGAGCTGCTCATTAGTTTCATTAGTTTCCAAGTTGTACCATGTCTTAACGACATTCAAGCCTTTCTAATGTGTTCTGTTCTTGCCTCTATCAATTCATATTCAAAAAATGGTTTACTTTGGATAAACTTATACAAAGAATTCTTAAATAATCTGGACAACCAGGGCTAACTTCTGTGAGGTACATCAATTGAGATATACTCAGAATTCTATACAGTCTAATATCACAGGGATTTTTCCAACTGAATTTAAATTTATAGAAATAAACAGAAAATATCCCTATGACTGAATAGCTAAAAATCAAGTCATACATAAGCTAATGTTTTAAATGTAAAAGTTAGCATAACAATTTAATTCACACCTTTTGGGAAAACAAATGTTTCTTATCAAGAGTGACAGGGTATTCAAGGGAAATCTACCATTAATTTTCAGCTTGTATAATTTTACTCACTGTTCTTTCTATATTAGAGGAGAGTGAAGTAGCCAAGCAACAATCATTGATCTTATTACACCATCAACCCTTTAGATAAATTTACTTGATTTTCCATAGGTGCTCCCTCTTCTCTTGGCTCACACTTATACTTACATATCACTGGCAATGGAGGAGTTCCGGGACATAGACTTTGGAGAGAGGTCATAATCACTGTCAGATCGATACAGGAAGGACTCCCGACGTTGACTGTGGACAAAGTTTGCTTGGAGAATTAGCCCAGATCCTGGGCTGGTCATGGGATCCAAGGGACTCCGTCCCGCAGATGTGCCATTGTCCACATCAAAACTGTCAAAGAAGAAGAAAGAATTACATTTCTGTAAAAACTTGGATGTTGAAATTTTAGCAAAGGGAAAATGCTTCAGTTTAGGAATTGATGATGGGAAAGTCTACAGCTGATTCTTGCTGCTAAAAACCAACCATACTTAAATACATGAAAGTAAAGCACACATTGACTTCACATTCTTGTCCTCCTAAGCTCTTGGCTACTATTGTTAATAGACTATTTGTAAGATACAGATGAAGATATAAGACATAGGTCTCTCTAAACTCACTTTCAGTTAAAAAGAACCCATTTGGCAAGAATATTGTATAACTTGTTTTCCTAAGAACAGAATTCCTTTTTTTGATAAAGAACAAACAAATAATAATTCACTAAATATTTGAATTTGATTCAACAAATGCCCATTATGTACTTAATACCTTTCCCCTCAAATAAAAATTAAAACAAAAACTGGGCTCCTCTCCCCTCCCTCTGTTGTTGTTAGATGCTGTCAAGTTGGTTACAACTCATAGTGACCCTATGTAGAATGGAACAAAACACTTCCAGGTCCTGCAGCATCCTCACAATTGTTTCTATGTTTGAGCCCATTGTTGTAGCCACTGTGTTAATCCATCTCTTTGAGGGTCTTCCTCTTTTTCACTGACCCTCTACTTTACCAAGCATGATGTCCTTCTCCAGGGGCTGGTCCCTACTGATAACATGTTCAAAATACATAAGACAAAGTCTTGCCATCCTCACTTCTAAAGAACATTCTGGTTATACTTCTAAGACAGATTTGTTCGTTCTTCTAGCAATTCATGGTATATTCAATATTCATCGCCAACACTATAATTCAAATGCATCAATTTTTCTTATTCATTATCCAGCTTTCACATGCATATGAGGTGACTGAAAATATCAATGGTTGGGTCAGGTGTACCTTAGTCCTCAAAGTGACATCTTTGCTTTATAGTACTTTAAAGAAGTCTTTTGCAGCAAATTTGCTCAATGCAGTATGTCATTTGATTTCTTGACTGCTGGGTGTTGATTGTGGATCCAAGTAAAATGAAATCCTTGACAATGTCATTATTTTCTCCATTTATCATGATATTGTTTATTGGTCCAGTTGTGAGGATTTTGTTTTCTTTATTTTGAGGTGTAATCCATACTGAAGGCTGTAGTCTTTGATCTTCATTAGTGTTTCAAGTCCTCTTCCCTTTCAGCAAGCAAGGTTGTGTTAATGAGTCTTCCTATGATCCTGAAGGCACGTTCTTCTTTATATAGTCCAGCTTCTTGGATTATTTGCTCAGCATACAGGTTGAATAGATATGGTGAAAGAATACAACCCTGACACATACCTTTCCTGATTTTAAACTATGCAGTATCCCCTTGTTCTGTTGGAACAACTGCTTCTTGATCTATGTACAGGTTCTGCATGAGCACAATTAAGTGTTCTGGAATTCCCATTCTTCGTAATGTTAACCACAGTTTGTTATGATCCACACAGTCGAACGTCTTTGCGTAGTCAATAAAACACAGGTAAACATCTTTCTGGTATTCTCTGCTTTTCAGCCAGGATCCATCTGACATCAGCAATGATATCCCCCATTCCACGTCCTCTTCCGAATCTGGCTTGAAAGTCTGGCAGTTTCCCTGTCAATGTACTGCTGCCACTGTTTTTAAATAATCTTCAGCAAAACTTTACTTGCGTGTGACATTAATGATACCAAAAAAAAAAAAACAAAAACAAAAAACAAACTCATTGCTGTCAAGTTGATTCTGACTCATAGTGACCCTATACTGTTCAATAATTTCTACATTCTATTGGATTGCCTTTCTTTGGAATGGTCACAAATATGGATCTTTTCCAGTCAGTTGGCCAGGAAGCTGTCTTCCAAATTTCTTGGCATAGATGAGTTAGTGCTTCCAGGGTTGCATGCATTTGTGGAAACATCTCAATTGGCATTCTGTCAATTCCTGGAGCCTTGTTTTTCGCCAATGTCTTCAGTGCAGCTTGAACTTCTTCCTTCAGTACCATCAGTTCTTGATCATATGCTACCTTCTGAAATGGTTGAATGCCATCCAATCCTTTTTGGTACATTGACTGTGCATTCCTTCCATCTTCTTTTGATGCTTCCTGTGTCATTCAATATTTTGCCCATAGAATCCTTCAATATTGCAACTAGAGGCTTGAATTTTTTCTTCAGTTCTTTCAGCTTGAGAAATTCTAAGCATGTTCTTTCCTTTTGGTTTTCCAACTCCAGGTCTTTGCACATTTCATTATAATACTTTACTTTGTCTTCTTGACCTGCCAATTATTAATTTCTGTTGTATCCACTTCCCTCCATCCCCACTGTCAATATATTAAATTCAAGATTCCAATAATTCTCAGCTAGATTAGCCTTTAATCTCTTGAATCTATTTTCCACCCTGTACCAAGAGTGATTCTTCTTAAAATGGAAACCTGATTACATTATTCCTCAGTTTAAAACCCTTTGGTAGCTCACCATTGCCTTCAGGATAAAGTCCAAATTCCTTTGTTAGACTAATGGAGTCTTAACAATCTGCTGTCAGAAGTACTATTAACCATTTTCCCAACCTCAACTTGCAAATCTCTTCCATTGCATGCTTAATTCTACTCATACTAAACCCCCACCTTCTTTTTACCCACTATCACTACCTGACCTACTCGTCCCCTAATTACTCTGTTGTAAGTAGAGTTGCTATGAGTTGGAACCGACTCGATAGCATCTAACAACAACAACAATTGTTACTTGTCCATGAGGATTTAGCCTTCTCCAGCAAAGCTGCCCTGATACCCAAAACTTTATAAGATGCTCTTTCTGTGTGTTCCCAAGACCCTCTTCTGCTCCCTATTGCCAGCATTATCAGTGAACTGAAATGTTACCTCTTGGTCTTCATTCCTAAATGACCCCATGAACTCTATGAGAATGGAGGCTCTGAGTGTTGTTAGCACTTTGCGTGGCACTTCGAAGACCTTTACTAAATGGTTTGGATCAATGATGGAATGAATGAAAGACACTGTGCTTCGCAATGCAGATGTTAAAGTTGGGGGGGACACAGAACCACACACATAGTTTTAACCTCACAGTCCTTATAATCTAGGTAAACTTTTCACAAAGAGCTGTTCTAGTCAAATGTCAATCAGTAATAAAATAAAGACAACTCTCATGTGTTCTTAGGAGGGTGATAACTCAGGGGAGCCCAGTAGGAGTAGGTATGTCGTTTAAAAAAAATTGTTGAATGAATAACTCAATGAATTCAAGTTTAATTGTTATTAACATTTTCCCCAGTGAAACATTTACCCAAACTATTAACCAGCTAATTTTAAAACATTATTTCATTTTCTGTATTGGAGTTACTAAATAGTGTTATGACCCAAAGCTTGGAAGTCAAAGTGGAAGGATATGCCAGGGCTTGATGTGTCATGAATATCTATGAATCTATGACCAAATAAGACATTGACTCCAAATAAATCCATCCAGTAAAAAGAAGAGGAAAAACTCATAAAGTACCTTGACTAGTCATAAATGTGTTTTTCAAGTTAAAATTTACTTAGAATTGTATCATTTTGTGCAAGGAAAATGAGAGATTATTTAGTTCAGCTGACTTATTTTACAGACAGATACCAGTCCTAGACAAGTTAATCGACCAAAGTCACTGAGCTAACTGGATTTAGTCATTTACGTTTCTGAACTCCTTCTAGGGCTAAAGTATAATTATACAAACTATAAATATATGTCCGAAACAGTGACACCCAAACAGGGGATACTCACTTCATATATGTGGGGCAATCCTGAGGAAGCTCAGAAGGGAGAAGGAATCTCTAATCATAAAACAGACATATAAGGGATTTCTTGCAAGATGTTCTTGGATATGCTTAATTAAATTAGGATATGTTAAGTGCCTATTATGAGTATGCTGCGATATAAAAATAAAGGAGATGAGATTAATCCAGGCTAAGATAGCTGAGAAGTCTTCATGAAGTAGTATTTAAAGAGGACTTTTGAAGGTATTCAGTGTATAAGTGGAAGACATCGAAGAATTCTGAATAGAGGGTGGATAGGAGCAGATTGCTGTTCTAAGAAGATAGTCATGTCATCTTTTCAGCATGAGAAGGAAGACTTAATAATGTGAACATATAATGAAAAATATTTATGTGATTTCCCATCAGCATCATGATGTTTTGACTGTTGGATAAAAAAAAAGTAAACACCTTCTTCTTGCTATTGTATGAACAGAAATACAGGCGATACAGAAGTGTAGTTTTTGGTTTAGTTTTTCTTTGTTCGATTGAGTAAATACAAATATAACAAAAAAATCAGTAATTTATATTTTTATCATTATTATTTTTTAAATTTAACTGAGCAAGTCTTACAGAGCCACTCTAGTCTATGTTTTGAATCCAAAACCAAAAATCAAATCCACTGTCGTCGAGTCAATTCTGACTCATAGGGACCCCATAGGGTTTCTGAGACTGTAAATCTTTACAGGAGCAACTGCCACATCTTTCTCCCTGGGAACCAATGTTCATTTCTAACTTGATATTTAGGTTAGCAGTCAAGTGCTTTAACCACTGTGCCACCAGCGATACCCATGTTTTGAAACAAATACTTGTAAATATCTTAGAAGATTTAACATTTTCAATAATATTACCCATTAAACCAAAACATTTAATAATACGTCAGAAGATGCTTGATGGAGGCTCTTCTAAACGGTTTGGTATTTTTTCTTTGTAGGTTGTAATATAACAATTTGTCCACTAGATGGAGACAGTTTTCTTACCTAAGGAAAATCTATTTTAAATAAACTTGAAGGCCTAAATATGTGTATTTCCTTGAGAGTTATGAATGTAACTTCTAAAATATTATCAAAAAAAAAACCATGACAATCTATAAGAAGTGATTACCAAATATTGATAAAAGTACACTAATCTAGGAATATCAGTATTAGCTTTACAAACATTGCTAACGAAGACTTAAAACTGAACGAGTCACTGATGTTT